AAGTAGTATATTTCTTAAATACATAATATAAATTGCTAAACACTACAAGATTTTCCCAAGTAATAAAAGATACCTTGGATAAAACAGAGAATATGCAATTGCTTTTTATTTTTTAAGCCAACTGTCACATTTGATTATTTCAATGTGAATGTAAAGCACATAGTATTATATAATTTATTTACAGACTAAGATATAATAAAGGTGCAATATGGTTTGATACAGCACAAGAAATCAGCAGCATACTTTCTAGAAATATCTAAAACCAGACATTTTAATAAATAAAGCAATGCTTATCTGATTACAATAAATTTTATAAAAACTATTTTCTACCAAGCATATTTTTTAAAAAAATGAACATAATGCAAAAATTTGGATAAGTCAAAGTTAGATAAGCATAGAGATAAATATCTTAAAAAAATTCGTTTTGCTAGTTACTAAAATGATAATCTAGTTACTCTTTCAAATAATGGTGAGTCAAGTTTGCATAATAGTATTTTTTGTTACAATTACAAGTTTATAAATAGTGTAACATTAAAATTTAATGTTACACTATTCTTGTGCAAATGCCATCAATAATATTTAATATTATTGATGGCATTTGCACAAGAACTTATTACACTTAAAACATTTTATTTTAAAAACAAGACTATTGACAGACAATAGTCATAAATTCAAAGAAAGTAACACAATGAAACAAAGTTGTTGACTAATATTATAATGATCAAATCTGAACATCATACAAACTTTGAAAATCTTGGATCCAGAAGATCCAAAACTGGAAAATTACTTTGTATCTAAATCTTACTGGTGTTGTTATAAGCAAAAGACTGCTCCAATTGGCTACTATTACAACCTTATTTTATTATGTAAGCTTATAATAGAAGACTTTACTTATACTTACAACTTTATGACTGTTCGTAAAGGTTATAATGAAACAATTTTATAATGGAAAATGCCAATGTTGCTATTAGTTCTAAACCTTTAAATTAAAGTTACTGATCACAATGTATCTGAAGTGCTATTCAATTTTATAAAATTATCATCCTATAAAAATTAACAACACTAAAACTAGAGACACTATCACTCTTCAGAGCAATATCCTTATTACTTATATTGACACTTTTACAGTGTATATTTATAATAGAAATATGATACTTGTAATAAAGTGAGACAAAGTTACAAATATTTATCATATGACACACATAAAAGATATTTATTTATTTACTAAATCAATCTACAGGAAGTTCTAATTACAGGTCTGTTTATAACATACAAAGGAATATTATATAATAAAAATTAGAACATAAAACATTACTCTTTCACATAACACTGAGAAGATCTGTAAAAAAAAAAGTATAAAATATAAAATTGAAAAATATAAGAAAAGCTAAAGGCTAATTAATTTGTTTGTTTTTTCTGTTTTACCAAGTTAATAGTAAATTTTATACAAATTTGAATTGTAATCATTATAATAAATGAATGAGAATATTTAGTATCACACATTAAATATATTGAAAATGTCTTGCAAAGTCATATTAATGTTATGCTTTTTTTTAAATTTCCAGCTTAATGAATAGATTAATGAAACAACAGACAACAAAAATCATTGCTAGCAGTCAAAATAAAACACTTACAAAAAAAAACGGAAAATAAATTTTGCTGTTAAACAGTACACTCTGATACAAGACTATTATTTGTTTAAAAAAAATTAGTTTATATACCACAGTTTAACATTTTTGGTACATTTAGCAGAATCCACTTACTATAATCATGGATGTTATCATTTATCTAATACTATTGGAATTAACATGTCCAAAACCAATTTTTCTTACCCTGTTTGGCTATCCACACACAATGCAAAGTGAGACAAAGTTACAAATATTTATCAAATATAAAAAGTTAAATATACAAAAAAATATTTACAAATATAAAAAGTTAAATATACAAAGTTACAAATATTTATCAAATATAAAAAGTTAAATATACAAAAAAATATTTACAAATATAAAAAGTTAAATATACAAAGGACATTGTGCCCCATGTATGGGGCACAATGTCCTTTGGTCAATCATGTGCATCAGCTTCCATGTTACTTACTTGTATTGTTCTTAAGTTCAGACAATTCAAATTTTTTTCCATTCATCATAAAAATCATTCTTTTGATTGTTTCTAATCAGGAAGAAAATTACTTAAATGTTGTATCCAGTGATGTTATTGGAGCTGTAGATACAGTAGAACACTTATCAGAAAAACGGATAAATATTTTGGGCATTTTTAAATAAAAACAGGGTATGATTCTTTTTGGGCAGAAAGGTTAAGGAGGAGAAAAAACTGTTTTAAACTGAACAATAATTGACTTTGCCAATCATCATGCCATGGAATTTTAGAATTAACAAACTTTATAATTTGGATTGCATGATAGAACTAACATACAGCTGTTTGACAGTCTTATCTGTAACGTTCCTAAAATTTGGAGTTTGGATTGTGTGATAGATTTACTACACAACTGTTTAGTGATCTCTGTTGGTGGTCATTCCTGCTGTTTTATGAAAATTTCCCAGTATAGTACTGAATGTTTTCTTTGCAGCTGTGCAATTCAGTTATCTCTGCATACTTTGCAACTTGAAAAAGTTAAATTTTAAACTGTTATTGGCAATGTTTTGTTATTGCCAATTTATCTTTTTAAAAGACAATGAGATAGATGCTTGACAATTTTATCAAAAAACTGAGA